CTATCTGTAAAATGTTTATTATAGCCATAACAATGATCTTATTAATAACAATAAATTTGTAATAATAAGCATTCCCAACTGCTGGTTGTTCTAGAGTATTTACTCAATAATACAACTGTATCAAAACTGACAGTAGTTATAAACACATTCCTACGATGGAAGCCACTAACTAAAACACAATATTCCTGATAACGATGTGATAGTTATATGTAAACCTAGAATTGTTTAGAAATGATAAACTGAAATACTTGATTTCGGTTTAAAACAGAGAACTTCTTGTAACATTACATTTCCTGAGAGATTTTATTAGAATGATTTGGAGAGGATAAGATAGTGACGTGGCAGTGGATCTCAAATTCGGAATTAATATACACTTAGCAAAGTGACGAGTCTCAGTTTGTCAAAATTGTCGAGCAAGTTTTACAAAATTTAAGTACCTTTTTCAGGCATCTTTGAAATTAATCTTTCAGCTTTAGCTACGTCTTCTGGATTACTACCTAGAAAAAACAGAGAAACATATCAAAGTTATGAAACACTCAGATAATTTATGAAAGAATTGTGGAACCAATTTGAATCGTTTCTCATAATAAAAATGTGTCAATAGTTCTTAAAGTTTAGCAATAAAACGAATGTATTTGATCTTTACAATACCTTCTTCTTGACAGTTCTTTATCACAATCACAATTTTATAAATATATCCACTTTTCTCGCTATTATACAAATTTATCAGTTATATTTAAATTTCCTGAAAATATGTTTATCTAGAGTAGTGTGAAAATTCCATATACGTAGGAAGTAGTTATATCTAGCAGATAAGGAACGTTTATTAAAGAAATATTTGAAAAAAATGTTTCACTGTTAATTTATTAATTTTATAAATATTTTGTTTTTGCAAGAAAAAGTTAGTAGTTTTTCTTGAAATATATTTTTAAAAGATAAATATCACTTACTACACATCATTTCATGTATACGTTCAATTTTTGGACCTTTTCTACACGATACAGAAATCACAAGTGCAATCAAAACCAAAACCACGAGAGTCTTCATCTTTGGTGATTTAGAAACTTCGAGCTTCAGGTTTCAGATGATCTTGAGAGTCAGTAGAAGTGTAAGGATCACGTCAATTGGTTTCTCTTTTATACAGTAACTAAAGTAAAAAACAACAGCATGTATTTAGTTGGGAATAGAGAGGGTTTTAGTTGCTTCGAATAGATTTATTTAGTCAGCTTGTTTGAACATTTTCTATAGATTCCGTGTCCTCTAAAGGTTCCTTGTACATTCTTTTGAATCAAACTGTTTGATCTGAGAAACCTGGTGTGTTCGCTGTTTTTTTACTGATGAAAAAATAGAGAAATTCTCGACTCAGTATTTGGGCGTTTTCAAACCTCTAGCAGGAAAA